GGTTTAGCCGAATATAGTCGCCAGCTAGTCATGTAAATGTTGTATTTTGTCTGTGGTTATGTTACGACGACCGCAGCATCGGAAAATGGACATAATTAATTTATTGATTCTGATTTTGGCTGATTTTCCATTTGTTTATATACACGTTTATAGATTAAGTTCGGAAAAGGCGCTCTGCTTCTCATTGACTAGTGGCCTATATCTTGGTTGTAAAAAGCTTTCTGATTAGTTGGTCGAACTGTGGCGTTGTTTGCCTGGCGATTATTATTATCCGTCTCTTTTTTATGGTGAAATTTTGGTCTTTTTGTTATTTATATTTATCAATTTATTTCTCTATAACCACAAAGACTGTATTTTTGGGAAATGTTTACACGGTATCTTTCTACACGGACGAACCAATGAAAAATGCTAAACCTCGTCGTGACCAAAGTCTTGGGAGAGAAAAAAGAGACGAAGGGTATTTCTTTTTATACGCTTTCGCGAGCGATTCTCATTTGTTGCGCGGTAGACTACATAATGTCTATTTTTGGCCACGGAAATAAGCGTGACATGTAGCTTTTAATTTCCCATAAAATCCACAATCTGAATAGTGTTTTTTTTTTAAAATTATATATCACTTATAAATTTTGTTGTTTATTTACAATAATAGATGCCTTTTTCTCCATAAATTAATCACTGGATACTTTACTCATGTAATAAAGTTGCGTAATATTTTGGTTTTATTCTAGGAATAGTTAAAAACGAGTAAAAAAAAATAATTTAAATACCCGTCACATGCAAAATGCATGCCTGAGTAAATATTTAAAAGAGACTTCTGCATTAATTCATTTTTATTAATTTTAATATTTATATTTATATTTTAAACTTTTTTTTAATTTATATCTTATTTTCTGAAAGAAAAAAAAGACAATGAATTTCATGATTTTCATGATGATGAGTACTGTTACGGCAGTATCTCCGGGCGAGACAATCCAGGTTATCTATGCGTGAATCTCCAATGGGTGTCTGTTTTCACTGCCTACGAGTCATCCATCAACATGAAATTGAAAACGAAAAAAAACAAAAACAAAACAAAACAACAAACAAACAAAAAGTAGCAAAACCCAATCTCAAAAAAAGTAGACCCCAGTTATACCAGCTCTTACACCAATGTAAGGGGTCTACATCCCAACTATCCAGAAGTGGAACTCCATCTTCTTCAGTTGCAACCTGACCTCCTGTTCATGTCTGAAACGGATGTCAATGTCTCAATACCATTGCAGGAGCTCATAATCCCAGGCTACTCACCAATTATAACAAAATATGACCACCTAAATTGCTACGGACATGGGCTCGGTGCCTACACAAAGGTCGTGTTTTTCCTTTGGCAGACACAAAAAACGAGGACTCTGATCTCTTGTATTTGCGTTTCCGTGTGGTACTTATCCATATTGCCACATTCCTCTTTTCCCCCTGTATCATCCTCAGGATGAAGGGCCGGTAATCTTCGATCAAATATCAGAGAGGATTGACAATATCCAAACCGAATATCCCTCCGCCAACTTTCACGTATGCGGTGACTTCAGTGTTCACCATAAAGAGTAATTAGCCCACTCTAACAAAACCGATGAGGAATGCGATGTTGCAGAGACTTCTCCATCACCTATGAACTAACCCAGATCATTGAAGAATCCACTCGAGTCCCGGATGCGACGGGACAACAGGCAAACCTCCTTGATCTTTTTCTAACATCCTGCCCTTACAAATGTTCAGAATTTTTTTTTTAGATCCCATTGAGTCGTCAGATCATTTCCTAGTCAATACCCAGATTAACTCCAAACCTGATTAAGCCTTTCATAGAACGGATTTTACTAAAGAATCCTTAAGAGTATCAGCCTAGAATTATCCCCGATACTACTGCTGGATGGAGAAATCTTTCTCAAGCACGTGGAAAGTGGCAAGCGTATACCCAGTATTCAAGAACGTGGGCAACCGATCATCTCCCTCCCACTATAGACTCATTAGTCTCCTCAGTATATATCAGTAATGTTTTTGAGGCCTTAATCAATAAGAAAGTCGTCGAGCACCTGGAAATGAACAACCTCTTGTGAGACGAGCCATATGGGTTTCGATCAGCTCCTAACTACCATTACACACAGAATTAGTGAGGCCCTTGACGATACATACCGCAAAGACCATAGCATTAGATATCTCGAAGGCCTCCGACAAGTCATCACTGGAAGGGTTTTCTCTATTATAAAATCCTTCCTAACAGGTAGATCCCTGAAGGTAGTCACTTCTTGGACCACCCCTCTTTCTGATTTACATAAATAATGTAAGAATATACTCCAATCATTTGTAAACGTCTATGCCAATGATACAACGATATACGGGCGCACCTCTAAAAGTCTTGACGATCAGAAATTTGCATATGACTTCTTTTCCAATTTAGCACTAACTTCAAATTGGGGAAAACTGGTTGATTACATTCAATGCCTCTAAAACCAAACTGGCTACATTCCATTACCGCCAATCAGACCCCGGACTGCCGCCAGCCACGATGAACGAATGTTCCCTCGAGGAGGCACCGTGCCTTGAGAGGATATTGGGCCTGAATCTCATACCTGACCTCATGTGGAATTCCTATATACGATTCATCGTTAAAGATGCAGGTAAATTGATCAGCTCCCGGTACCACTCCAGTAAGTACCTAACTCCTCATGCTATCAGGCCCAAAATGGCGTTAGGGTTGGCATATTTGGGCAGGAGCTCCCTTTCTATTCTTGATAGAGTTCAAAAGCGTCTCCGACTCCTTGTAGAAGAAGAATTATTTCCCACATTCCAACCTCCCTCTCACAGGCAGCATGTGGTGAGTCTCTCACTGCTCTATCGCTATTATAGAATGTGCTCGGACGAACTGTATCTCCCGGTTACAACAGGTATGACCTTCATGGCTAGGACCTACCATGCCACTTACATAGTATCAAAACACCCACATTTCCTCCGTATTCCATCGGCGAGAAGTAAGTTCTATTCAAACAACTTCTTCCTGCGAACCACTGCCCTATGGAACAGATTCCCAAGGGGATGTTTCCCCGATCACTACAATTTTAATTTGTTTCAGTCTAGAGTCAACCGTTATTTTTCTCTACTATACATATAAGCTACCTCTTAATGTAACCTTCTACCTCGAGTGGCTCCCAGGTCTTGTATAGGGTGAACCTTACTGTAAAAAATAAGATAAAATAAAAAAAACCCACTGATTTCAACATTAAATAATTCTCTTAGACAAACCAACTGAATTGTCAATCAATCATTATCGTAAATATGTAACAATCAAATTAACGGGTGTAATTTTCTACGTTTGTAGTTTTACGTGTGAAGTGAATCTTTCAGCGACTTGGAGATTCGATTTAACGCTTTCGGTGAAGCTAGTTTTCGGACAAATGGCATTCACTGTTAGGAACCGAATCTGTGCATTGTTTACAATTTTTACGACTGGAATTAATTGAAAACCAAGAAGAAAGGCATTGTCAGAGATCAAGAATCGTTATTAATATATTTATGAATATATTTATGCAAAATAATACAAATAACACATATCGAAATCCGTACAATTGCTAGAGTTTAACGCATCTCAAGGTGAGCAGAATTTTTGCCAAAGAAAAGTATTCAGTAGTGTACTAGAGCGATAATAGCAAAAAAAAAAAAAAAAATAAAAAAAAATAATAAAGGTTTAAATGATTTATCTTTCGAACGACTTCAAAGTTTCGCGGACGCAACGCTCGGAATGTTATATAAATCAAATGAATTAATAACAGTCATCATAAAAATACTCTAGATAACAAACACTAATCATAAAGTTCAAACAAATTTGAAATTTGTACTATGCTAAAATCTGCTAACAACGTGATAATTAAATTTCCGAAAGCGTTGGAATATTAAAGGTAAAATGTTAGATTTGCATTCTTATAAACTAAGCTTATCAAATTCATCAATGGTCAGATGATTAAGAGTATTAGAAACACTTAATATTAAAAATACCGATTATTTACTTGTTTATTTTTAATGACTTATTTAATTGCTTTTATTTACATTATTTACATGTGGACTAGTGTCATCATCTTATTTTTGTTGTTGCAGCCTAGGTGTGGAAAGGTTAGTGATCTATCCCTGTGGAATGAAGCCGTAATTAGTGGAGAAACCATGAAATCAGGCATGGCTGATCTTATATGGAGAAGAAAGGGTGTTGATCTACCCATATGGGATGAAGTAAAATACTAGATAGGGAGCCACACTGGAGAGTCAGACGTCTGAAAGAATCAGCGCATATACTAGGTAATTTGAGTTCAATCCCTGGTCCAGGTATTGTGTACTAGAACTCACTGGAAATAAGGCAAGCAAGAAATGAACCGTGTACTAAAATAAGAACTAAATGCGATATCCCTAGATATAGAGTCAGTGGAAAAAGAAAAATCTAACAGCGTAGATTAAGTAAAAAGCTCAATTCGAAATTCCCTGAAGGTTACCCGGATTGACAAACACCTGATGATGTGCGGAGGATACAACGGCTGAAATAACAACAAAGTTTCAACAATAGTCCACATGTAAATAATAACTCCTCATCGTAGAAATTCAGCGATAAATCATTTTATTTAATTATTTTATATTATTGAACCGGAACAAATATCAAACCTATTTTATACTTTATGTGTGTTGTTCTTCTTTTCAAATAATTTTATATTATTTATATAGAAAAACACTTAGGAATGTAAACCCAGTATATATTGAGTATATGTTGAGTATAAACGTATTGCTAAATGTTTTACTATATAAATTCATTGAAAATCAAGAAAGCAATCACCAGAAGTCATGTTACTGACAGAATAAATCTTGTATTTCTAATATAAACGAATATATGGCGTAATTATTTGCAAAGCTTGCGAACTGTGAAACAAATTACATAAGTAATTTGTTTTTATTTGCATCTATTTTTTTATAGGCTGCAACTCTAATAAAAGCAATTGGTCCAATATCTCAGAAATTTGAAGCCATCCAAATTCTAGCGCCGGTGAGTGTTTTACGTTTTTTTTTTTTTTTTTTTTTTATTATCATTTCACCTCAAGAAAAGCAATAAAGCCACTAATACGTACAGAGTCACTGAGTGTGAGAGAATATGAGAAAAAAACAAAAAACAAAAAAACAAAAAGAAAAAAGTAAAAACAAAAACAAACAAAAACCAAACATTTACATTTTTTAAAAACAAAGTTGGAAAGCAAAGTGCGAGAGAAGAAGCTGTTAGCATAGAACTTACGGTTACATTTAGCTATATCTACTGTAAAATGATGAAAACTAGCAGTTCATCTAGTACCGCGCTCAAATTCGTAAAGTCCTGGTGCTAAAGAGGAAAGCCCATCAAAACAATTAGCATGGAAATATTTATAGTAAAAATTACAGGAAAGCTACATTACGGCAGTAACTGATGCCGAGATGCCAGACCAGGACCGATAACATTGCAGATTCTTCTTTGGGTTTTATCAATAATCTCTAAATACATAACAGAAGCACCAGACCAGATGTGATGCTTTCTCTGAATAACATCCTGATTCTATTGTTTTATTCTAGAGGTTCACTTCATGAAAGTATCAGTGATTACCAGCGTAAGGTGTAAAAGGGAAACATTTTTTAATCAAAGTGTTCACTCATCTTTACGTGTGTTTATCCACGTCTTCGATAAGAATAACACTTTTGATTCCTGATATTCTGATTCTAACTTGTCTACAGTAAAGAATTGGGCAGGTCCAATCAATATATGGTAGCAATACCCGATTTTTGATTTGATCCGAATCTTATAAAGATAAAGAAGTCAATACTTTTTGAGGTGGTACAAGGAACTGAAAATTTGTCTAGCATCTTTAGCAACGGATCGTATATGAGTTCCAATAGATGTACAAAGAAAGTGTCTCATTGGCAATAAAACCATTTATCATGATTGGAGAAAATTTAGAGCCTGAATTGTAACGATGAAAGTTTACTGTTTTGGGTTTGGAGATATTGAAAATGACAAGCTAGATTTTTTCCCATCGAGTTGTTAGAGCTCATCCAGAAGTGAGATCATTTACCAGTCTCTAATCATCTTGATTAACATATAAGTTGTAAAGTTATCTGAATTTCTCACATGACGTGTTTTCAGTATTCATTTTTGATTAGTTTATCTTTTAACTTATTAATATTACTTTTTTTTATAGCCAAACTCAGAAAGTATTCGGCTGTTAAGTAAGCAAGAAAGATAAAAAGTAAAAAATTGAAAACGTAACCTCTGATGAGATTTGAATTCACATCGTATATCATGGATACTTTGTTTAACATGGAGTATATATTTACTGATTAGGGCCACGAACTAACTAGCTTAGTGAAGTTGAAGTCACTCGTAAAACTACGTTCTTTTTCATTCAATTTCTCCCTGCCCTATTGTTTGTTTACTACCTACTAGAAGTAGTAGATATACTAGTTTTTGAATTTCATAAAGAACGCCTTTTCATTTTATCATTCATCTTATTATTGCTTTGTGGCCAAATCGGTAATGGGACATTATTCTTTAAGTTTTTGAAAAATAAGCATCATACGTACTTATCAAGTGTACGGTGTATAAATATTTCTACTTGAAGAAGATACTAGTTACTAGTTAATGTTTCATTTCTTCCTCCACATTTGGTTAAATTCGGTTCTAACCCTGATGCAAAGTTTGATTACTATAGGTCCTGTTTATTCGTCTATTATTAACAACTGTCACTTTTTTGTTTTGTTTTTTTATTTCACAGAGATTATGTCAAATGACCTGTTCTGATGCCCGACAGATTTTACTTGCTGTCAGTGTTCATAGTGACCTTAGATTGGATATTTTGAACCATATCAAACGGTAAGAAGAAATGTGTTTGTTTAACAACTGGCATATTTTGTGTTTTGGGGATATAGCTAATGAGAGAGAGAGAGAGAGAGAGAGAGAGAGAGAGAGAGAGAGAGAGAGAGAGAGATTTATAATGTTAAAACTTCAAAACTTTATAACCTATGAATTTTAAATTTGATGAAAGTCTGGGGCAGAGCATACGATCTGCTTTAGCCAAGCCTTATTACCAGACACTTTTAGAAAGCGGCAGATCTCTGAAACCCGCTTGACGAGATGACCAACAGAAGGAAACCCCATCAGAAAACCTACGACCTTAATACCATCGTTCCATTTGTTGGGCCATTGAAGTCATCTTTTGTTTCAATTGATGGGATTGGTAGTGTCCTACATGTTACCGTTTCTGTTAGTTGAATCGAATGCACTTCACCTATAAAAATGTAAATGCGCAGTATTTTTACGTTTACAATAAGTAGAGAAGAGGCAACGTCTTAAAATCGGGCTTCTCTCTCAGGTTGACACATCTTCTCCAGCTGTCGTGAAACAATTGCTTCTTATTTGTTGGTTTCGCTGTCAGGTCCAAAGCAGACATGGAACACCTCCGAAAGCTTCGTTAGCGAGGTCAAGACACGAGGATGAATAAATAATAGCAATGGGTGAATAGTTAAAATGTGCCAAGCTTTGCTCGGAAGACTGAATCCAAGCTCAATTAACACAATTTAATTGATACAGACGCTGGCATATTACAGATTGCACCGTAAAAAGAAAAAGAGGCGTTTTTCTGTTATTTCAGGATATCTTGTTTTGAGCTAGGTGTTGTTTCGCAAGCAGTAGTTCGCCTTTGTACTAATGAAATCAGGCCAGTGAGCATGTTCTGAAGCCTGTGGTAATATGCCAAACGAGGATTTTTTTTCATATACAATCCACTTGTAAAGAAAAAAATCTTCGTTTGCGTAAGTGGACGAAGAAATACTGAGATCCTTCTTTTACCTTACAAATTATACACCTGAAGAAGACCGTAGAATAGATAGGCTGAAAGGGTCTACCAGCAACGTAACGAAATAGTTAAAATAAACTTGGAGTGTTAATGATTCTTTTCAAAGAGAAAAAAATGTCAGAATGTTTTAGATGAGGAATTATTATTACCATCTATTCGGGCGGACTAGCATTCCCCATCTTGGTTGATATACTCGCAACGTTTTCTCAGCATAAAAAAATGGAATGAGAACAATCTACGTATGTGAATTGAATAAAATGTAGGTTAAAAATTCAAAGGTTTCCGAGTAGAATTGATGTCTGAAGAAGGTCGGAGGTTACAATAACCGAAATATTATGAGAATAACAACAGATGAGCATGGGGATCTGGATAGATATTTCTTCTATGCAGGATTTTGTAAAAAATAATGAAATAAAAAAACTACAAGGTGATTTTATTACGTCTAACTGGATATGAACTGTTATAATTCTTAAACAGTATGTCTCTGATTTCGTAACAAAAATACAATGTCACATGGCGGATTTCTTCTCTTCAAAGGTCTATATACGAACAAAATCTGCAGAAACTCAGATTTTGTACAAAACTTCAGTAAATCTTCATTTATCAACGCGTCATTTTCAAGAAACGAGGATTAATCTTTTTCAGCTGTTGATTTTAAACGCAGTCTGTGAAATTAATTCAAACGGAATATTTTCAAAGATGAATTATTATCTCTAGTTTCTGCATTAACGGGCTTATTAATCTACCAGTAACTAACCTGGAATTGTCAGAGAAACAATGTTGGCCTTCATGTATTACATATAAAGAGATAAGTAAAATGAGAGGGTGAAATTTAGCTATCGTTTCAATTCGCTAGATAAAAAAGTTTATAGCGCCATTATTTACAAAGTTGAGGAAAAATCTTTCTTTGCTTTTTATAGTTTGTGCAATCAGTCAACTGTAGTAAGTCGTTTACAAGGCCGAGGAAAATTTTGAAGCTATAAAAATAAGTTCCCCATAAATTTGCAGATATGTAGATAGATCAACATTTAAACACTTCCATTCCATTTCTTGCTTGGTATGAAATAAAGCCGTTTTGCAGACAAGTTTCTAACTGACGATAAAAAATAAAATCATTACAGAAATTCTAAGAGAATAAAACCGTGGCTTGTAACAATCATTTTCAGAATTAAAAAAAAAAAAAAACCTAATGGGAAGAAAAACGTTGTCTGCATTTGATGGGATTAAAGGAGAATTCGGTAAAGTTTAACATACGTAACCGAAAAAGAAACACCCCAGCACAAAAAATAAAACGGTGTATGAAAAGGATGTTTATCTCTTGACATTCTTTATCACGGTAACATCTTCAATAATTTTTATTCTTTTAAAATGCTGCTTTTTGGAAATTTTAATAAAATTTAAACATATGAAATTGTTTTTCTGCATTCTCTTTTTTTCCTCGACAATTAACAACAAAAATATAAATCACTGTTCTTGTAAATAAACAGTCAAATAAATAGTATATAACATTTTTGTTGCCAAATCTAGAAAAAATGTATAAGCCTAGATGCTCATAACCTATTTTACTGATTTTATAATTACATTTACCCGTAGGTAGTTATGTAGTTATTCAAGTATTCTGATCCTTTTTTCACAGACATTTTTTTATAAATTTAAGAAGTAAAAAATTGCTTTTTAGTTATTTCTTCATAATATTGTAAATAATACATATTGCATTGTAGTTGGCTCACATATTTTTATAAACTTATAAATATAAAAATTATTCTTATAAATAAACAATTTAATAAAATAAATAGTGTTTAATTCTTTTGCTGTCAATTCTCAAGAAAAAAGAGAATACATATATCCAATAATTGACGAAGCACTATAAAACAATAGCGGAGTCAAGAGAAAAACCGTTTTTTGTACATCATTGTTTTTCGGATACGTATGTTAAATGTTGCCGAGAATTCTTAATTTACAATTGCTGGAACCTGAAATGTTTGCTATTGTGATTGCTACTGCACTACAGTGAATAACTGCTTCGTTGAATGATATATCTAAACATTTCCTGTGTCAGAAAGTCGGCCGGGGATTTACCGCTTGATAAAACTCATCTTCACATTCCAAATACCACGCATAGAACTGGCATCGGATATTCTTCCACGGTAAGGCCTGGCAACATCAGACAATCACTTGCTTCACTTGCAACCCTTGCCTAGTAAGCATACTTAACAAGCTGAAAATTAAAAAAATCCTCGAAGATTTAATCGAAAAAAAGAGAGAAAAAAATTCCGGAATCGTTCTCTTATGGCAGAAAACAGATGCAAGCTGACGTCAGGTTATCGAAAGCCCTGAGTGGGTGAATATTTTCATAAAGGAATAATGATGTAAAAAAAAAAAAAAAAAATTGAAAGCTGAATTTTAAAGCAGGTTGGTTACATTTGGAGGATTGATGCAACTCACAATTGGTCTTGTGTCTTATTAAGATAATGTTGAAACAAATTCACTGTTTTATATTCCCTCTACCTTACTTTCATATTTTATTGTTGTTATGGACATTTAGAGGATCCAAGATATCTCACCACAACTTCCTATTGCTCTTACCCTTTTACAACTTCTCTTTGTCTCCGTGGTCATCCTTATGCTATCAATTCTCTCAAGTATCACCCGTGTTTATCACCTGTCATGGGAATGTTAAATTTCTCAAACCTTCTTTTCTCATTATGCGTCCCAGAAATTATAGTCACTTTTTGATTAGAAGCAGTAATTTCTTCGTAGTTCCTTAATATTTTGTTGGTAGGACAATATCTTTGTCGCCTCAAGTCTATTCTTCATCTGTAAAGAGATTGTCCAACATTCACTGCCATATAGGAGGGTAGGCATTACACGGCAGCAGTCGAGCAAACTCTACTTGGATTCTAAAGAATTTCCCGTCTTCTTAATACTTTGTTTATTCTCTGAAAATCATCTTTTGCTATTTCTCACAGAACAGATTGAAATCAAAAGGAAAACAACGCATAACCTAACTTGAGTAAATGGATGGTTGAATAAGGTTTAGGAGAGATAAAAAAAAAGATAATATGTATTAAGAACTACAAAGGACAGGAAATTGGGGAGAACTCTGATCGCCAATGTCATGAAGAGACAAAACATTAAAAAAAGAAGATATGTAAAGAGATTTGCACCAAATTCTCTATATTTTTTCTTACCTAGTGTTGCATTGTATCGCACTAAAAGACTTATCGATTTGGTAATTGTGTTGTCATCAAAAGCCGGAGGGGAAAAGAATATTTACATGTGAGAATAATAATACTGAGTATTAAAATAAAAGACTGTAAAAATAATGCTAAATTTCAAATATTTGGAGCATTGGCGCTGGACAGTCTTATACTCCTATCTTGTGTTATGATTGATGAAAATAAATAATGAAGAAACAAATTCACATTTTTTTCAGTAGGTAAACTTTTATTTTTTTCTATGAATACTTCATATATTTTGGGGGATTAGTATGAAGACTTGCACTAAATCGCCTTTATTCTTTTTCCCTTGGTACTATCGCACTAAAAGAGTTATCGAATTGGTGATTGTGTTATATTTTCTTTGAGAACGCGGATCTTATATAATTATTAAAATTACGAAACATGGCCTTTTTAAGTGGATGTATCAATACACGATTGAAAATCGCGTGATGCGTGGTCCATAAACTCCCCAGTTCCTTAGACTATTGCCGCAGACATCAGGACACACTCCAGCCACTACCCCACTTTAGTGCAATAAAGAAGTGTTACCCGGGGAAGAGGTCTCCGGTAATTAAGCTTCTTTGAATTACGATTGGCTTCCAATCCCGAAGCGTCGGTATCCGTAGATTAATACGGGAGTTCATAAAGAATAAAAATAAATGACGCTGAACGACTTGCCATGGTTAGCGAAATAGTTTAGTATACCACTGTAGTCAGTTCGATTTTCACTAGGTGGCCCATATTTTTGGTTTTGTGCCTCACTAAGTTAAAGTTAGTATCGCTAAACTAACGTCACT